GCTATACCCCCAATCATATACGGAATATCCCCACCGGATTATATGGGATTAAGAGGGGTTACATATGGATAGTAAACCACAGATCCTAAGTGGGATGCACATCCAAGTAGGCTGTTTTCCCATCCCATGAATAACGAGATTTAATGGGTACCCCTATCTGGGTCATCTTACCATTGTTGATTGGTTATAGGGAGTGAAACCTAGCTGGTTTACTGGGGATTCTGAACCAACCCATATGCATATCTACTCACCAGTATGATGGAATGGGGTAGTGGTATTTTCAATTGTCCAGTGAAATACTGGTTGATTAGTTTCATATTTTTTCTGCTTTCCCGTGTTTTTTTTGGTTATCCGATCCCCCATAAATTGGAGAGTACAACACCATTAATCATTCAACAGTATTTGAACTCAGACCCCCGACGAGCGACTCTCAGAAAAACAGCTTTTGGGACATCAATGGACTGAACATTTGTCATTTTCCGGGTGGGCAAAATGCTTTGAGCTTTCAGGCAGTGGCAAAAAATCATGGCTGATGTTTCTGGGTACACTGAACTTATTGTTCATGGCGATATTTGGTGTTAGGTAAGCTTAGGACCTTGTGGGTAAATCAGGCATGATGGATAGATGGATGGATAGATAAATAGATCGATAGATTTGAATAGAATAGAATAGATTAGGATGGATAGATAGATGGACAGATAGATTGATTACATAAGATTAGATTAGATTAGATAGATAAATAGATAGATAGATAGATCGATAGATAGATAGATAGTCATGTACAATACTGGATCAATTTTAGATATTCATAGTTTTTTTGCAGGGAAGAATGCGCTATATTACCCGGACATGATTTTGCATGGTCTCGCAGCTATGAGTGCTTGGTTCACCATCGAAATAGGGGTGTTGCCTATTTTCATATAGCCTCATTGGGAAAGTGAGGTTTAAAGCATCATACTTGAGGTACCCTACTTATTGAACAAAGCTATAAATTGGCTAAGGCAGCCCCCCAATGGCCCCTCACTGGAATCCAAAAGTGAGAACTAGAAGGTGAGGCCAACGATAGCTAAGCTGACGCACAGTTCACTTGGTTAACTGTTGGGCTTATGGGGGATGTAACGAACTCGTTAATGGCTTTATCAACTAACAAACGTCACTGGGGGCCCTCACCTTGTATGGAAAGTGGACAGCTGTGTTTCGCAAGTATGAGGATCACAATCAACATTAGCACGCATCCATGAAGGTTAGGGTATCCACCACGATTAGTGACACGATTAGTGACGACGATACATCACATGTACCCATCAGAAAGGGGATGTTCAAAATGCCAGACTGGTTGGTCTGAAATATGCTTTGTTGCTCTGGTAATTTAACGTAGGCACGGAAAATTAGCTATTTGTAGATGATTTACCTATTGAAAATGGTACATAGATGTACATAGTAACTTTTCCATAGCTACGTTAGATTACCAGAGGGCAACTGGAATAATTATCCCGATTGCATAATACTGTTGTGATGGTTATCAAAGCCATGAACAAGCTCTATGCTGTCAGATATATTGTCCTTTTGCTGTTAAAATACTGTTTGCTGAGATAATGGAAACGATGGCAATGATACAATTACTACTTGGGGGTCCGTCCCGGGCATTGTAAGTGGGTAGCAACATGTAATAACCATACAAGTTTAGTACCCCAAGTTAAGTACCCCAGTTGCAATGATATACCCTCTGGCAATCAAACATGGCCTGCTGGAAAATCATGGAAAATCCATAATTTACTTCGATTATTTTTCCCAAAAATAAAACCTCTATGGATCATGGACTTTCCCAGGATTTTCCTATGGATTTTCTGAGCTAATCCCAGCTCTAAAGCTCCATTTGGCTGGTGAATTCAGGGATTTCCCGTCGAAACTCCCATGAGGATCATCCCATGGAAAGGCGGCAGTTCAACCATAGTTCACCCATAAATTGCTTAGATCCAACTACGGTTGGTGGTCAATCTATGGTCAATCTATGGTATAGCTGGTTGGTGGTGACTGGAACCATGGAGTTTTGAATGACTTTCCATTCAGTTGGGAATGGAAAATCATCCCAACTGACGAACTCCATCATTCTTCAGAGGGGTAGGTATACCACAAACCAGTAACTATGGTTCATACATGGGTGAATTAATTATGGTTATATACATTAAACTAATCAGTAACCACAGTTAGGAAACACCCATTTATGAATGCGATAGCCCCGCTGAATGATCTGAATGGGGACATACTGTACTAAAATTAGGCTTATTCAAACCACTTACTAAGTGGGATGATCATTTCCTAAAGCCGACTTTGTGAGTTCCACGTTAGGCACAACAAACTTGTATAATTTTGTTCATATGAGATGGTTGGTTGAGGCCGTTTGTTTTTATTGTTTATCTATCTATGTATGTTATGTATGTAATAAATTATGTAACACAAATAAATATACAGTATTTTCGCTACATAAACATACGTACATATTGTATATATCCGTCTATACATACCATACATAGCATACATACTTATCCACTTGGACAAATACATGTTTTTGGTTACAGTGAAGGGGCCTCAGGTCTTTAGCTAAGTTGATTTACAAGTATAGGTTCACGTTTGTTTATACAGTTATGACCCTTTGCCAACTATCAGTCAGTTATACCCCCATTTATGGAGTGTATAACCCCAATGGAAATAGCCATTTATAACTGGTATATAAAGGGCTTTAACTCTAGGGGATATAGCCAACTAGTTACTATGGTTTATGTTTATTATAGGGGATACAACTATAGTTGGTTTAGTTATATCCCCTATAATAAACCATAGTAATAATACTAAACTATATCACTTCCTATGGTTCATAAACCAACTTATATATAACAGTCGGGACGGCCCCCTTCCTGTCGAAGACATCCAGGTTGGCAGCTGCCCGCGCTTCCAGTCTCGAGAACGGGCCAGGGCCAGGGTTTTCGACGGAGGACTTGGAGGCGTGTGGCATGAAAGTTAGAGTGCTCGGTTGATTGGTTAAAAAATGGGGAACTTATATATATATATATTACTGTATATTGCTGTATGTTAAATGATATTATATGATACTACTATATGATATTATATCATGTTATATATATGATATTATATCATGTTATATGATATTATATGATATTGTATGGTATCATATGATATCATATGATATTATTTGATATTATATGATATTATATGATATAACTGGTCGTTTTGAGGAAGCATGAATTCACCCATAGTAGAGAAAGTAGGTCTGTATTCCTTTTTCAACCATTATTAAATCAGTTGCAACTATTATGTAAAACAACGTTTGTGATATAAATAGCCCATTGATACGCGGTCGCGGTTCAAGATTATGAACTAGCCCCAGTGTTGAGGCAATGATGACCGGGCATCCAATGGCATCCATATTCCCAAGCACATGATGTTGGATTTGTTTCAGGATTTGTCTCAGAATATGGGCTAGTGATGGCGTGATGGCTAGCGAAAAAGAAGGCATTGAATTTGGGTCACACACAGTGGATACATACAAAAACTGAGGATTTGACCAGCACTTCAAGGGGTCTTTTTTTGGGGATGAAACAATGAGAAACGGGACGATCCGCCAGGTAGACACTCGGCCTCGACGTAGCATTAGCTGGTCGCATTCCGTGCGCTCAACGCCTTCGAAGGAACGCAGCCAACGTGTCAATAGCGATGATACGCCGGTGGGTGACCGCAGTGACCGCGATAACCCACAAGAGGCAGAGGAGTTCACCCGAGCTCAAACCATGAAATCGAAGCTTGGCAGCGTTTTTGCTCACACAACAATAGATGACACAACCCTCCATAAATCATTGACTTCCACACGCTTCCAGACATGGGCAACGATTTACCCCATACCGGTCAATCGTTGAGAATCTGGCTGATTGTCACTGATTTCTTCGGTTCATGCTATCACAACAGAAGCGAATCTTGTCACAGATGTCATCGCAGGAGGCCGTGCGATGTACAACTGGCTTTGTTCCAATTTTCACCAAATTCATCCTACAGTTATGCCCCTGTACCACTTACCAGTAGTACCGCACAAGGCGGTGGCGGAAGTTTCAAAAATAGGAAACCTTATAGGAGAGGTTGGTTGTTGTGAATCACGGATGGCAGAGCGAACCCACTGATGGACCGAAAGATGTGGTTGCAATGTTTGCAATGGTTGCAGTGGTCACCTCACCCACAACTGCTGGACGTAGTGGGGCGTAGTGCAGTTGTAGTTGTAGTTGTAGTGTGGTGTAGTGGAGTTGTAGTTGCAACGTGCAATAAGCGTAGTGTAGTTGCAGTTGTAGTTGTAGTTGTGGTGTGGTGTGATTAGTGTAGTGTATTGTAGTGTACTGTAGTGTTGTATACTGTAGTGTGGTATAGTGTAGTGTAGTCTGGTGTAGTGTAGTGTAAGGTACTGTAGTTGCAGTTGTAGTGTGGTGTAGTGTAATTATAGTGCAGTGTCGTGTGATGCAATTTAGTGGTAGTTACGCTTGTAGTTGCTGTTGTGGTTGTAGTTGTAGCGTAATGGAATGTAATTAGTGCAGTGTAGTGTAGTGTTTCGTAATCTAGTGTAGTTGTAGTTGAATTTGTATTTGTAGTTGTAGTGTACTGCAATTTACTTAGTGCAGTATAGTGTAATGTGGTGTAGTTGATATTGTTGTTGTAGCTGTGATATTAATAGTTGTAGTCGTCGCAGTGCAATTAGTGTAGTGTAGCGAGTTAGATGTAATTTGTGTAGGGTAGTGCAGTGAAATTAGTAGTGTAGTGTACTGTAGCTTAGTTTATTTGTATTTGTAGTTGTAGTAGTAGTGTAGTGTAGTGGTAGTTGTAGTTGTAGTTGTAGTTGTCTATGTATCTATCTGTCTATCTGCGATCTGCAAGCTTGAAAACTGAAGCAATTCTGCGAGACCTCTTCAACTTTTGAACTTGATAACGTCAGCAATTCTGCGAGAATTCCTCAATTGTTGAAGTTGGCTACATCAAAAACGAAGCAATTCTGCGAGACTTCCTAAATTTTTGAAGTTGGCAACATCAAAAAAGAAGCAATTCCGCGAGACTTCCTTCAATAATGGAAAGTTGAATGCAGAGCTGACGGCCTCGTACCAATGCGGTTTGCGATTTTTCCAGTCCATGTCTTTTAAGTATTGCGCCTGCCACGAAAAAGTGATGCCAGGTCATACAAAGTGCTGCACCTGTCACGTAAAATCATCTAAGCAAAGCTGAAGATCTGATGCGCCAAAATGCAACCCTTCTCAGGAAATCAGCGCCCTGACCTCCTAACATCTCTGATGAATATGTCTCTTGTACTGCGCTTGCCACGCAAAATGCATCTTTCCAGATCCTCTTCAAATGTCACACGCCTGCCTTCGTTTTGGAAATGCCACAAAACCCTCAAGTTTTGCTCACTTTTGACAAGGTCCACAATCCCTTGCGCCTGCCACGCGAAACGACATCTGAATGTCCAAAAGTGGTCCGAGCATGTGGTGTTTTTCACATTTTGGCTTCGAAATGTGCTTCGCGCCACAATGGCGTGCACTTTTTCGACATCGCAACTTCCAAAAGTGGTCCGGACCTGGTGTGCTTTGTACATTTTGACTGGGAAATGTGCTTCGCGCCACAACGGCGTGCACTTTTTCGACATCACAACTTCCAAAAGTGGTCCGAACATGGTGTGTGTTTGCACATTTTGACTTCGAAATGTGCTTCGCCCGACAATGCCGCGCACTTTTTCCACATCTCAACTTCCAAAAGTGGTCCGACCCTGGTGTGTTTTGTACATTTTGACTTGGAAACGTGCTTCGCGCCACAACTTTGCATCTCTCATCTGGCCACATAGCTCCGCACCCGCCGCTTTAGCGAGCCTACTTTTCCATCCTCCGGGGCCACAAATCATTGGAACAACACAGTGTTTCGCGACTTCCCTACCTTTTCGCGCACCTGGATCTTCTATCTTCTGAGACTTTCTCTTTTTTGATCTTCTTTCTTCTTCTCTTCTCTTCTCTGACTCTTCCCATCTCTCATCTATCCATATTGTCGGAAGTTTGACTTCTAAACTTCCTTCCATCAGTAAGTTATAGCCCCATTTATGGAGTCTATAACCCCATGGAAATAAACATTTATAACTGGTAAAGGGCTTTACCTGTAAATTTGACAATGTGACAAGATCACACACTTCTTTTCGGAGTGGAAGGCCTTTCTGCCAAATCGTGCACCCAGTTTGGCGAAATAAAGCATTCGTCTTTGGAAAGGGTAGGCCATTGTTGCTGCTCAAGCGATGACTTTGACTTTGATTGTTTGAATTCTCGACAGATTTAAAGGCACGACATATGGTTAAGCGTGGTGCCTGAAATCCGAAATCAACAAATACACCCCGCAAAACGGGCGCAAAATTCCGCAAAAATCACCCCACACAGGGTACCATTGGCAACAACGCTGCGTTTGTATTATGTACCTTTCATTAGCTGGCTCAAAAATCTTTGCTAATGAAGGGCAAATTCAGGTGAGGGTTAGATGTCAATAGCAAAATGCAAAAGGGTTCCAGTTATCCATCCATCACTGCACTAAGGTTGGGGATGTTGGCAGGATGAAGATTTTATTGACAGATGCTCTAGGTTGAGCAGAAACTGCCATGCTATAATTGCTAGCACCTGCGCAATCCAGAAGGCTTTAGGCCTCTATTTGAGTCAGCTAAGAGGTTGATGTCATAGAGATCGTGCTGCTACTGGGGGTTTAGCCTGCGTGGCATGATGGGGGAGAAAAAACACTGCAGAAAAAATCCAAACATTGCAAAAAAAAAATGGAGCATTGCAGATTCAGATTGACCCTAAATCTTGGAACATTGCAGAAAAGCAAATCGACTTTTTTTCCTGCCTTGTGGACGGTATATACGCATATATATATATATATGTATGTATGTATGTATGTATGTATGTATGTAAATATATTATATATATTATATATATATTTTATATATATTATATTATATATATATAATTATATATAATATATATAAATATATATAAATATATATATATAATTATATATATATATAATTATATATAATATAAATAAATAAATATATATATATATATATGTATAATTATGTGTATTTGCATATATAAGTAAATAACTATAATATATATATATATATACTTCAGGAGGAACAAAGTTTATGCTTCTTGAAAGCTTGAGAAGGCATCGATGTCGGTCAACCGCGGATCACATTTCCAAGCCCATTTCGTGTGGCAGGTGTGTGACGGTCAATTATCACCCGCTTTTAAAACTTGTAGATGAAAAGCTTTTGGAGGGTGGAAATGCGACCGGGGTACGACAAGGTCCATGCTAACAAGTTTTTGGAGGCTGGAAATTCGACTGGGGTACAACAAAGCTCCATGCTACAAAGCTTTTGGAGGCTGGAAATTCGACTGGGGTACAACAAAGTTCCATGCTAAAAAGGTTTTGGAGGATGGAAATTCGACCGGGCTACAACAAAGCTCCATGTTAAAAAGTTTTTGGAAGCTGGAAGGGTGGAAATTCGACCGGGGTACGACAAAACTCCATGCTAAAAAGCTTTTTGGAAATTCGACTGGGGTACAACAAAACTCCATCCTAGGATTCTAAGGGGAAAGGGTGTGCAGAAGAAAAAAACAATTATGTTTACTGTTGGAAACTCAACAAACGCAACTTTTGTCCTACCAGTGAATATGTATATATATATATATGTAATATGTCTATATAATTATTTATATATTTAATACCTTTGTGTATCATCTTATATATATATACACATCTCCAGCGGATTTTGGTTTGAATTGGCTTGATCATAATCTCACTTTCCCCAACCCTCCCGGCTCCCCTAGGACCGGCACGCCCACGGATGCCTCGCAGTTCCGGCGGCATAGCGTTCCAGACCTGGTGCCCGAGCCTGCGGAGGAGAATGGCGAGGATGCTTGGTTTATTTGGTGGCAGTGGGATGGATATTACCTATATTTACCATCTGGTTATTTAACATAGCCATGGAAAATCACCATTTTTCATAGGTGAACCATCTATAACTGGGCCATTTCCCATGGCTATGTTAAATAACCAGAGGGTACCTATATGATTATGATAATTATGATATACTATGATATATCGCATTAAAACCATGTTTACCCTCTCATAAATTAACAGTCCGAATATGAACCCTCTGGTAAATTTAACATGGAAAATCATCATTGAAATGATAGGTTGATGATCTCTGGAAACTTTAACCATAGCTATGTTTACCCTCTAAATGAACAGTTCGACCCTGAAATCACCTTAATTGTTAGTGGAAACTAATCGTCCAACCCCTATCTGGCAGGGTGTATGTGAATTTTCTGGAGGGTAATGTGGGAAACCCATTGGAAACCCAATACTAAACCTGACTGGCAATGATTTATGGTGACTTTGGGTGGTGGTTTATTATTGAGTTGTATACATGAATGGGATAATTGGGAGTTTACCACCAAAAATAGTGGTAGAATAGACATAAAAGGCCTAGTTAACCCACGATTAAAATGAAACTCTTGGGATTTGTGGGATTCTAGTTCAATGGGATTCAAATTGGATTTTAATCCCACAACAATAGGGTCTTATAATTATGAATTATGTCGATTTAACCCCGAATTAATAAACCCTCAGTCCACTTCAACTTCAATACTGTAGTGATGTATCACTGTTCTGGGGGCAAGCCCCGAATTGAGCAACAGAGCTCATTAAATTAGAGTTGACATTTAAACCCAATGCCAGAAACCATCCCAATGTCTACATTTTTGGATCAATTTGGTGAATTTGATACCTTATATATAGATCCTTATAGTCAATATTTCTTGGTTTTCGGGATCTTAAATTTTTGACTTGCAATTTTGACCTGGACCCATTTTGTCTATGTGAGTCGTTGAGGTAAAACTATCGTTTTTTTCAATGGTGGCCTGATGGAAAATCCACCATGTAGTTCGATGTTTTTTTCCCACTCAAACTTCTATTGATAATGGATCATGGATTTTCCCATCATTTTCCCAATGGATTTTCCAAGCTAATCCCAGCGAAAAGGCTACCTCGAGCGATTTGGCTGGTGAAAATCCATGGATTTCCTATCATTTTCTCTCTGATTTTCCCATATGTTCCCGTATTTTCCCATGTGTTTCCCATGTTTTTTCCCATCTGGTTGGTGGTTTGGAACCATGGAATTTTATGACTTTCCATGTAGTTGGGAATTTCATCATCCCAACTGTGATGAAGTCCTATTTTTCAGAGGGGTAGGGCTCAACCACCACCCAGCCATTTTCTGGCGGATTGCCCAGCCAGGAGAGCAACGGCTCCCAGATTGCAATCTCCACGGAGTTCTCCCCGGACACAGGTGCGTTGAAGTTCCGGCGTTTCATGGGGGTTGAATGGGGGTTTCATGGGGTTTAGTAGTAGCATTATGTGGCATGAATGGTGTAAAAACTCCTGTTTTAATGGGATTTAAGAGTGTTGAATGGGGTTTCATGGTGATTAATGGGGTTCAATGATGATGGAGTTTAATGGGCTTCAATAGACATACTGGGTCTGTTTTATCGTTTACCCTATGTTCAAACAAACGCACATAACCAGGACGAATAGAGCATAAATGGTTCTGCATCCTCATGAATCCACCATGTCCAAGGAATCAAACCCCATCAAATCCCATTATATACACATGTATAATACATGTAATTATATATATATATATTGGGCTCTGCCTCGTGACACTAACAGTGACCACAATTCATACCACAAAAAAAAGCACAAAAAAAATCAGGTTGTAGTCCCCAATATGACTTTCATTTCCCCTTATTAAGGCTAGATGACCAGGCATGTTCCCTGCAAGTTGGCTCCACGGTCGGCACATTTTCTTGCCGTGCCCAGAAGTCCTTGCTGTCAAAATTCGACATTGGCATTTCCAATGGGGTGCCTCATGCATCCAGCTTGTCAGCACCTTGTGGGTAGTGATGCTGCTGATTGCAAAGCAATATTGTTTAGGGTTTTGGATGCTGCCCATTGCAGCGGTGATGGCAAAGCAACGCTGTTTAGGGTTTCGGATGCTGCCCATGGCAGCGCTGATGGCAAAGCAACGCTGGTTAGGGTTTAGGATGCTGCCCACCACAATGCCAATGGCAAAGTAATGCTGTTAGGGTTTAGAATGTTGCCCATCGCAGCGCCGATAGCAAAACAATAGAATGTGTGTGTACAATACATATAAAGGCCGGGGCTGCTGGACTGACCCTGGGCAAGGGTTGGGGGCTGAGCCTGGGGGCTGGAGCCTGGGAGCTGGGGAATGCTGGGGGACTAGAGGCCTGGCGGGCTGGCTGGCTGAGGTGGGGGCTGGAGCTGGGCCGGGCTGGCCAATTGAAAATGCTTTAAAAGCAGCGACTTTCCAAAAGCAGAAAAAAAGCAGAAAAAAGCAGAAAAAAAGCACAAAACAAGCACAAAAAAAAGCAGAAACTGGCGCAGGAAAAAAAGGAAAATGACTTTGTTTTTTTTGTGCTTTTTTTTGTGGTATGAATTGTGCTTTTTTTTGTGCTTTTTTTTGTGGTATGAATTGTGCTTTTTTTTGTGGTATGAATTGTGCTTTTTTTTGTGCTTTTTTTTGTGGTATGAATTGTGCTTTTTTTTGTGCTTTTTTTGTGGTATGAATTGTGCTTTTTTTTGTGCTTTTTTTTGTGGTATGAATTTTTTTGTTTGCTTTTTTTTGTGGTATGAATTGTGCTTTTTTTTGTGCTTTTTTTTGTGGTATGAATTGTGCTTTTTTTTGTGCTTTTTTTTGTGCCTTTTTTTGTGGTATGAATTGTGCTTTTTTTTGTGCTTTTTTTTGTGGTATGAATTTGTGCTTTTTTTTTGCTTTTTTTTGTGGTATGAATTGTGCTTTTTTTTGTGCTTTTTTTTGTGGTATGAATTGTGCTTTTTTTTGTGCTTTTTTTTGTGGTATGAATTGTGTTTTTTTTGTGCTTTTTTTTGTGTATGAATTGTGCTTTTTTTTGTGCTTTTTTTTGTGGTATGAATTGTGTTTTTTTTGTGCTTTTTGTGGTATGAATTGTGTTTTTTTTGTGCTTTTTTTTGTGGTATGAATTGTGCTTTTTTTTGTGCTTTTTTTTGTGGTATGAATTGTGCTTTTTTTTGTGCTTTTTTTTGTGGTATGAATTGTGCTTTTTTTTGTGCTTTTTTTTGTGGTATGAATTGTGCTTTTTTTGTGCTTTTTTTTGTGGTATGAATTGTTTTTGTGGTATGAATTGTGCTTTTTTTTGTGGTATGAATTGTGTTTTTTTTTTGTGCTTTTTTTTGTGCTCGGGAGCGCCGGAAAAGCACAAAAAAAAGCACAAAAAAGCACAAAAAAAGCACGAAAAAAGCACGAAAAAAGCACAATTTCTCTGGAAAAAATGAATCTCAGGCCACCTGGCCTCGACAGCCTTCGGACCAGCGGCCCGGCAAATGTCTCATACCATTTCCTTTTTTCCAACCTCCTTTCCAAAAAAAAACTCTCAAGAGTGAGCCCATGCCAGGAGCGGGAATGTGAAAAAAATGTAATTATCATATGATGTTTATTAAGAACCTCAACAACTATTGTTGGAGGCACGCCTTTGTAACGCTTTCACTTATAACTTACAATGGTTGGACCGTTTGATTGCAGTGTCTCTGTATCTCAGGTATGCTGCATTCAATATTGTAAAGAATGTCATGAGTCATAATATCGTATCATCATATCGATGCAACACCTTGCATCATCATACCAAACCATTGCCATTGCTATTTGACACACAAATATTCAGATAAACAAAATGATGTCAGCTGTCAGACTTCCCAGAACCATTCCAACGTTCCAACCATCAAAGGATATCAACAGCAACATGGATACTTTGATTTTTTGGCTAGTTGATGACAAGTTCAGCAAACATGTCCTGATGGCTCCAACAATATGGCGCAATACAAAAGGATGTTCGTTAAAATGATTTAAATGGTTTAACCACAAACAATGCCACCTCAAAGGTAGTGATGTTGTTGCATTCACTACTCCACCCTTTGTTACTTGTACGGCCCACCTAGATCACATCTTCTCCTAAGCAGACCCTAAGGATCCCCTAAAATGGCCTGAGGTACCACCAATATGATTGTGTTTTTTTGGTATGTGGTTTATGAAGGGGGGGCAGTTTTGAACTGTTAGTGGGCGGGGGCAGACCTCAATATATATATATATATTATAATACATATGTAATAATATTTATAATACATGTATATAATACATTATATTGTAAATATATAATAATATCTATCCACATGCTCTTTCATGGCACCCCAAAGGACCCAGCCTGCCCTTGGTTTGCAGGATCTATCGGCGATGATCATGATCATGCTGCCGTGGGCACGGGGTATCTGGAGGCGGCTTGCCGGGCGCTTTTTTCGCCCAGCAAAAATGGGATGGCATAAGCAGGATTTATGGATTTATCGTGATTTATAGATATGTATCCCCTAAATTTTGGATTTAGCATGATTTAGCCAGCAACAATGGGGATATAGCTGAAATAGTTGGTTATGGGGGCTTAGCCAGCAAACATGAGGAGCTTTAGTTCACAAAATATGGGGATTCAAGCATGAAACCTGGGGTAAGCCTTGTGAAGGGTAGTTTGATAATCCAATCTCTTGCCATAAATGGTAAAACTGGCTATGTATGGTTGCGAAAACATGCTGGAAACTATGAAACACTGTAAATGATGGGATGACTGTATAACATTGTATAACGGGATAGACCGTCTACCAGGTCTACCAACTGGTGCAGGATTTCTCAACCATTCACAGTACCAATCATTTCGTTCAAAAGATCTACCATCTGGTTATTTAACTTAGCCATGGAAAATCACCATTTTGAATAGGTAAACCATCTATTTCTATGGGCCATCTATACCATGGCTATGTTAAATTACCAGAGGGTAAGTCTGGGAATAGCTCCATTCACAAACCGAAATCAGCGGATCCAGAAGAATCTGCTGGTTGGGCCTGGAAAGAACGATAAGAATTCACCACGCCCCGTTTTGTACAGACAATGGGTACCCAAACGAAGTTCGTGTGATTTTTTCGGGGGAATTTAGATGATAATCTCCGCCGAGAAGCACATTGTTCGCAACATAGGGGGTTGTTTTAAAGATGTGGGGAATCCAGCCATGGTCATTTCGTGGCATGAAATTTCTCCAAGTGATTTTTGGGACAAAACAATATTTTCTAACCCCGTTGGTAGCTCCCAGCTGAGATCTAGGAGCTCCAGCCCCTGGGGTGCATGGCTATTTTTTTTTAGCCTTAGTAAAAATGACGATAGGTCCCTTGATTTTATCTGCAGACATGCTAGATTTTATCTCGATCATAAGTGTGAGATAAATTCTAAGAGGCTGGACCCCCCTAGGTCCCCTCAAGGGTACTCGCTTCCAAGGAGGACCCATGGGGGGGATCCAGCCCCTTGGATTTTATCTCACTCCAATTTCAGGTCAGGCACCTTGATTTTATCTTTGGAAGGTTGGGCTCATTGAATTTTATTTTCATCCTACTTGAGATTTGGTACCTATCTTATATTTTCAAAGGTTCAGCCCCTTGATTTTAGCTCCAACCTACTTTGATTGCAGTTCCAACGAGATTTAGGAGCTCCAGCCCCTGAGGTGCAGAATATATGTTTTAGTTTTTTGAGTAAATTTGAAGGTTGGGCCCCAGATTTTAGCAGCACACTTGCTAGATTTTATCGTGGCCCTATGTGTGAGATAAATTCCAAGGGCTCCGACCCCAGGGCCCCCCCAGGGCCCCTCAAGGGCATTCGATTCCAAAGAGGATTCAAGAGGGGCGAGACCCTTGGATTTTATCTGATCCCAGCTTGAGGTTAGGCCTTTTGATGTTATGAAGGTTGGGCCTTTGAATTTTATTTTTATCTTACTCGAGGCTTGGTATCTATTTTGTTTTCAGATGCCAGCCCCCTTCAGTTTAGGTCCAACCTACACCTTGGATTGGAAAGGGAAAAAAAACAACCTTGATGGATGAATTCCACTGCAAAACTGGCATCAAACTGTAACAAAGGTGCATGAAATTTATTGTGTTGAGCATTGCTGGCATGTTTATCAAACTCACCGTTACAAATTTCCTCACCTTGAAACTTTATTGTTTTTGAACTTTGAGATGAAAATATTGAATTTGACCCAAACAAAAAAGGCTGCCAAATCCTGTTTTTCTTCTGTTCCCGGATAGCTGCTTCGACCCGCTAAGGAAAAAACCAAGAAGAAGTAAAATCCATGTCCCCAACCTTGATAGATGAACCCCTCTGCAAAACAGGCATCAACCAAAGGTGCACATTTTTTTCTTGGGAAACGTGTGGCATGTTTATCAGCTTTCGCGCCACGGAAACCCTGTCAATATTATCTCTTTTGAACGTCATTCTTTGTTGAACTTTCACATCAAGGACAAATATTGAAATTGATCTCAAAAAGCACGCAACCAAATCCTGGATACTAGCATCTCACCCTGTCCATCTTCAGTTCCAGCAAATAAAACCTGTGTGCCCAACCTTGAGATATCAACCTCTCTGCAAAATTGGCGTCAAAAAACTTGCACTAAGTTTATTTACTTGGGACAGTTCTGAAATGTTTGCCTTTATCATATTTGTTAAAAGTAAATCCAGAACAAAGTCTCCTGCACATCAAGGACACACTGAAATTGATTCCAAAAAAGGCTACCAAATCCTGGAAACTAACACCTCGCCTTGTCCAATCTTTGCTCTTGAAACTTGGAGGGGAAGCCTGAAAATAACATCTGTACCAGCTAACCTTGATAGATGAATCTCTCTAAGAAAACTGGCGTTAAAGGTGCGCAGAAATTGTGTTCTTGGGAAGATAGTTATGACATGTTTATCAACTTTATCTCCGTTGAGAACCTTTCAAAGTGGCCAGCTTATCTGAGGCATGCAGAAAAAATCGATGGCTAAAATCCAGGAGGTCCATGGTTTCATAAGATTCACAGATAAAACATGTATGTCCTAAATATTCACAACATGCCCAAAATATTTTGAGGGGCCTGACCTTTGATCATTTTTGAACGTCCAAAATGCTCCAAAGTATTGGTTCCCTTGTCCAAGTTGAGTGTTAGCAAAAATGTTTGGTTTACGAATGCTAGACTTGGGCCCCTAGATTTTATCCATTCAGAAATGCTCAAAAGGGGTATGGGGGGGTCAGGCCCCTCTGGAAAACAGCCACTGGGGTCTACTATTTCAGGGGCTGGACCCCCCCTAGGAGCAACCAAGGGGTATATTTTCTGGTTGAAATATAGTGATCTCACGTCGTGACGTCACTGGCATGATGGGAATTGGATTAGGAGATCATCCCAAAATGACCGCAAGTTTCACCAATTTTCGAGTGAATACTGACAATTCAGTAGATACTGGTTACCCTCTGGTAAACATTCAAAAAACTTTTGAACATGGCTCCAATTTATAGTTGATTTACCTATATGCAAGTGGTGATTTTCCAGCGTTTTTTTTGGTTCTCCCATGGTTCTCCCATGATTCCCGGTTCTCCCACTGGATGCACAGGTGGTGAGTGCCTTCAAGCGATTGAGTCTCTCTGGAGTACAGGCACCGGGAGCCCAAGGATCCCAAGTCCTTTGAATCATACGAAAGGATTGGTGAATTTGTTGGGACTTACCTCTGGTAAACTAACATAACTATGGAAAATCACCATTTGTAATGGGAAAACTCACTATTTGTATGGCCATTTTCAATAGCTATGTAACAAATTACCAGAGGGTAGACTATCTAATTGAATGATATTGAATGGGGATTATGATAGGCCATGGGATTGCGAAACAGGTTTTTCAACCAACTAGTATTACATGAGATGGGATAGGGGTATGTTCAATGGCTCAAATGAGGATTTAACCGAAAATGAAGTCAAAGTGGCTGTTCTAGTAAGAAAATATGGGTTTTAGATGGTTTTAGACTTTTTAGACCATGAAATTTTGGGGTAGCCTGGTTTCAGACAAAGTCAAATCTTCAAACAACAGTTTCATGTGTCCTGATCCCAGCCATTTCTGGTGTGGTTTCGTGACCTCGCTGAAGTCATGGTGTATATTTTTCGGGGTTTTTCATCGCTGGCAGATCTCAGGTGAGTGAAATATGAAACATTACCCTCTGGTAAACATACAAAAAGCATCAAAAAGCCATGGAAAACCAGCAGTTTTAATAGCTAAATCATCTATAAATGGGTCATTTTCCATAGCTATGTTAGTCATAACCAGAGGGTACCTTGACAACTTAAGGGTTGCTTCTTTGACCCATAGCCACCATCCCCAAGTCATCATTTTTATGGGTGGAATTTCAACCCAGTCAGCCAGTCATGGTAGGTTTATGGCAATGGGTGAATCCCACATTACATTTATATATATAATATATATATATATATAACTTATATACACATATATATATATATACATATACAATGGGCTGGTTTGAAAATGAGGTGGGCTCCCATTCCAAAGAGAATATCACATCATCCTTAATTTCTTCATGGACATCTTTGGATTTCTTTCACGATAAGTTTTGGGTATACCCAGTTGTTGAGCAAACCCTTATAAGTATAAATAATGTATATAATATAATAGTATATATTATATATTATGTATTATATATTATATATTATATATTATATGATATATATTATATATTATATATATCATATATCCGGGTAAATGATAGTGACACTGGGTTACTATGCTTAGTTTTTAGGAATTCCTCCAACAATTAAAGCTTAGTGAAATATTATACATTACCCAGATTTACCGTTTGTTTCTTTTAGCTATCATAGGATCCAAAGATATCCTGGCAGCAGTGCCGCAGGCCTGTTGGAGATACCCAATGGTTGACCCTAGTCCCGACATCTCCACGCATGATTTTTCTGATGCAAAATATGTCAATGTGTATCAATATGTCTATGGCGTTGTCTGAAAATAGGCTACCCCAGTCTGTATCCAGTGGTGAAAAAAGTATCATCTCTGCGAAAATCATACAAAATAGCCATTTTTATGGGGTGAAAAATCCCCCAGATTCAGGTGCACACCCAAAACAAACGTTCTTTTCTCAGTGAAAACCTGTGTGAAAAACTGGTCCCTTGATGTTTTCACCACTTGAGCAGTGGTTTTGAACAACCACTGCTGGTTGATTATCATTTAGGCTTCTGTTTTTTTTTGGTACTATCCAATATACACCTTGGATTATCACTGGCTGAAGTTGCTTGACCTGCTGGGCCTGTCAGGCATGGGTGGCCATTCTATTGGTGACCACCTTTGGAGAGATCATCTTCAAGGGCGTTCTGGCTCCCACCATGCCGACCCTCTGCTATCACGTGGGGCTCCCGGGGATTTTCCAGCGAAATTGGGGATGCTGGACATTGGAAACTTGGAAAAGGTGTTGTACCCTCTGGTTATTTCACATAGCCGTGGAAAATGACCCATTTATAGATGGTTTACCTATTAGAAACGGTGATTTTCCATGGCTATGTTAAATAACCAGAGGGTACGTTTTTTTTGGTTTTGCAGATTTGAAACCAAAAATTCAGGGAGTGCAGCTGCGACATGCTGCGACCACTGCTCGCTATGTGGTTTCCGGATGTTTCCGGCACCACAGTGAGACCTGAGTATTCGAAGGAGAAAATCATGTGAGGTGGCATGGTCAGTCTCGTCGGCATGGTCAGTCTCGTCCATGGACCTGGGTCCCTTGCGGAATCCCTTCCATAAAATGTAAGGTTTGTCCTGTTCTGATGTAGGTTGAAAGCAAGGTCGTTGTTTGGCATGCCCCATAGCACGTGACAAATTGCCATTGGATGCAGTGGGTCTGGCCGTTATTCCTGCAGATGGCTTGGAATGGGCAACGATGGAACATGCTGCAACAATCATCCGAGAAACTACTTAGCACCATGGTGCAGATATTCCTGGAGTTTTTCCAGCCGTGACCTAATTTATCTTGGCGACATCATGCACGGAAATTCACGGACATAGCATAGCCATTTCCTGGCTATTCTACTAATATGGGTATGGCTATGTGTCAAAAGCCCGGGACCCTACCCTAAATTGGCTGATTCATGGGTGTTTATTCCCCAAGTCATATAGTATAATTTCATAGGTTTTGACCCATCCCCCTTTGAGTTCTGGCTCATCCTTGATGACAACTCGAGCGAGATCGGCTGAGGCCTATGGAACATGTGACTCCTGCAACGTGTGGTACGATAAGCACCTCTCCGACAACCAAAAAAAAACGCTGGTCAGTGATGGGTCGACAATTTACCAATCATATTGCCCAAAAAATAGGGATGGATGGGGATCATATATAATTATATACTATACATATAATCAATCATAACGTGGGGACATGACTGTTCACATAGCATTTGCATTCTGGGATAATGGGAAACAACAAAGACTTTGAAGTTGGCACTTGGTGGTTTTGACCATGTTTGACCCCGAAAAAGTGGTATCTGACAATCCAAACTACCCTCTGGTAATTTAACATAGCTATTGAAAATGGCAACTTATAGTGAGTTTTCCCATTAAAAATGGTGGTTTTCCATAGCTATGTTAGTTTACCAGAGGGTAGGCATTGAACATGATGAAAACGAAGCTTTGGATCGAGCACTTGTCGCCGCTCACGACTTTTTACCTGAAATCAGTTCGCCAAATATTTGGCCCCGGGCCTTTGAAACCATGAACGCCATTGTTCAAGCAACAAAATGTCATTGGAAATGCAAGGAGACCGAACAGGTACAGATGGTATAAGATCTTCATGTCATGTTTAGAATATTTTAGAATATACTGCCACATCTCATTTGTTAAAGTTGTTACAACCGCTTTTTTTGTGGTGTGCAAAGAATTCTTTCAATTGCCATAGAAAAGTGGTGGGATTTCAGCCTCCCCAACTGAACAAAATCAGCGTTGTTATCCGAGGCACATCTACGCCAGTGCACAATTGCGCGGGGTCCAACAACGGGCGAGTTTTGCCAATTCGGAAACCCTGAAAAAAGGGTGGGCATTGAAAAATTCGTTGGCATGTGAGATACCCGGCCTGGTAAACATACAAAAAACGATGGAAAATCACCATGCTATTCATGGGAAATAAATGGCCATTTTCAATAGCTATGTTAGTCATTACCAGAGGGTATTATCCCTGGTGGTTCCCCAAAAAAACAGCCGAATCGCCAGCTGAGTAGTGTGAAAAAGACCCCTGCTGTTTGATGATTGTAGGGTTATACAAGCCTTCATCAGAACTGGGAATCCTGTATTCATAAAACAGCAGAATTATATAGATGATTATAAATTATTCATGATTTTTCATCTTTGTGGAATATGATAATCCACATAGATATCCACAATAGATATCCACATAGATATCATCTATCCTGTGAACTGGGAATCCTCAACCATCAGAGATTCAATCGATGACTTCAGGAGTGCCATATCTCCATGATCTTCATGAAGCACCACTGGATCCAACTGAACTGACCCTGCTGACCTGGTTGTTGAAGAATGTCCATTCAGTGGACTATGCCATGGCTGATTTAAGCCCCAGTTACGTAGTGAGTTGGGTTTACAATGCAATGATAGTATCACTATGTATCACTGAAAAATCACCAGATCCAGGGATTTTCCGATAGATTTTCATGGAATAGAGGAAAATCAGATGTTTCTCTGATCTTCCCAGATTTTCCTGAGATTTGTCACAGTATTTTTCTCAGATCTCCGGAAATAGCAGGGTGTTTTTCCATGTTGTTCCATGTTGTTCCATGTTTTTCCATGTTTTTCCCCGCAAAACATCCGAAACTCTGAGGATCATCTACATTTTGTGTTCCGCTGCGTTGCTCTTCGTGATCGCCTTTGAACGCGTCTCTCGCCAAGTTTAGAGCTAGCTGACGAATTGGGATACCATTGGTATGACTATTTTAGGACCCCCATACCCATAGGATCCATGGTGCTGGTATATATGCTAACATGACTGGGGTATATTGATGGGATCCATGTTACCATATATATAGCAGCACCATGGATCCGTCATGGGATATAAATTGGTGGTTTATGGATGTTTATGGTGTTGATTCCGGAGATAATGAGCATTTTCGGAAAAAGTGACATATTTCGCTGAGCTTGAGAAATCACAGCCCGAGGCCTTCAAGGCGTACCTGCACGGCATCCAGCCCTACTGGAAGTTCTGGGGGGTCCGGCATCCAGTTCGAAAAGTTGAGGCCCCCTGAAGGATAGCTAAGTTGACTGCCAACTGAATAGATTAACTGTGCTTCATGGGGGTAACTATAGTATACTGGTTGGTGGTTTGGAATATGAATTGTATTTTCCCCAATAGTTGAGATGATGATCCAATCTGACTTCCATATTTTTCAGGGGGGTAGGTATACCATCAGTTCGTATAGTATTTATGGGTCTGACCAGATTCATACCCCATGTTACATACTGAAGGCATTTTGTACCAAGTGAAAACAGGGCGGTTTAGCCGATGAGGGTTATGAGCCCAACGCAGTGAGTTTGCGTTTTGGGTTCCAATGGAGCGAGCTCGATCGGTGCCTTTGAGATCGAGTGGAGCTGTGGTTGGGACCAATGTGGGGAATCCGTTTTATTCCCAAGGGGTCCAGGAGAGCATAGCAATAAGGGCTGCACGACCCAAAGATTTGCCACCAACACCTGTTGTTGAAATGTTGAAACAGACGCAATGGCTTCTGGAATGGGGGATCACATGAGTCAATTGGAACGATCCACTGGGGTGAAACCAGGGAAAGGTCGTGGTTTAGCAATTGGCACTGGTCGAGGGGTTTTCCTCACGCCACCCAGCAACCTGAAGTCGTCGGAACCTCTGTCAGCGGCGCCGGTGATGGGCGTGCAATCTCAGGGAGTCATGCCTGCTACTCTGGACGAGGTGGGAAAAACCATGGGTCGCGTGAACGGGCCTGGTGATGTTGCACATGAATCATCTAGCGATCTTCAAAGGGCCTTAGAAGCTGAAATAGTGGATCACCTGAGGAATCAGAATGCCATGTTGATGGATGAGATTGAAAAGTTGAAACAGCAACAGAAAAGTTTGCCTAGCTCAACATCGTCATGGACAGAAGTAGGCGGGACTACAGCAGCATGTGCTGGTCAGCCTCCGAAAACTGGTGATGGTGGGATTCATGCACGTGGGGGTTATCACACTCCGAGAAGTTCCCAAAAGCCTGAACAGGGGAAGCAGGAAGTCAGGTGCACTCCAAACGGAACTAGAGTACCAGATGGAACGCCCCCTGATAGCGATAAGAGGGAACCACCATGTCATGATCCTCAACTTCAACATGAAAGACCAAAGGTGCCACCATTTCCACAGTCCTTTTTGATTGATGAAAATGTGCAAACCTTTTTGGATGGCTATGAAAAGGTTGAGAAGAATCCCAAGATCTTGAAGAACGACCAGTCTTGGGAACCCAATGAAGTGATGTCACCAAGGGCTGCTAGAGCGTTTTGGTTAGAACAAGAGGTTGTCGCTTTGAGAGGGTCATTGGCAAAGTTGACCGATGGGAACCCCTTCAAGTCTAGTGAATACTGGTCAAAGGGTTTTCATCCAGCGACGGGTCCTCCAGCCACTGACACTGGCGGCTCTGCGTGTGCTGGCATTGCTGATCACCATCTTCAAGGTCGGGCTAGCAGTTCTAGCATGCGTCACGGTGAACAAGGCGGGAATTTGCTTGGTGGCAGTGGTGAAGCTGCTCATGACGATCGGGCAGGCATGGCTAGCACTGCGCATCAAGTATATCAAGGTCACTTGCTTGGCAGAAGCGGTGAACGAGGTCTTCATGATCGGGCTGGCATTGGTAGCACAGCGCATCAAGTATATCCAGGTCACTCGCTTGGCGGAAGCGGTGAACAATGTCATCAAGGTCGGGCTGGCACTTTTTGCACTGGATCTCATACAGAATGCCCTGGAGGTGGAGTATCACAACAAGCTCGGGCTTTGCATGGCTTTGATGCGACGGCGAGCAACGGGCTATTTGATCGAGGTCCTGGAAGCTTCACAGACCTTCCGCGGCATGGTGTGGGGGGAGGTGGATGTGGCGAAGGACAGGACCGACTCTATGGTCCGTGGACTGAGGGAGGTTCCATTTCAAAGTTGGAGCTCCCAGAATTGCCGGAGAATTCAAGTCCACTGCAATTTGGAGACTGGCTTCACCTCAGCACGCCGGTCATGAAAGACTTGTCGCAGGTCGCCGATTGGTGGTGGGAGTCAACTTTGCGGGAGGCCAAGTGCTACTATGACCAGTGGCGAGGCAGCACCCCACTTCAAAGGATTCAGATCCGCCCCAGGCTGCCGGAGGACTTGGCTGAGCGCAAATTCCAGCGCACAGAGCAGAGGGGAGTGCAGATGTTGCTGAAGGCGATCCCATCTGCTGAACAACAGGAGCTCGTCACAGATCGTGCTTTGAGCTCTACGGCGATCTTATACAAGCTCATGGTGAGATTTCAACCAGGTGGGGCAGGTGAAAAACAAATCCTGCTGAAACAATTGACAAGCATGCCGAAGGCATCAAACATCCAGGAGGTGGCTGCAGCCATTCGCAACTGGCGTCGACATTTTGGAAGAGCTGAGGAAGTCCAGGCGGTCTTGCCTGACCGATGGACCAACAAGCAGCCTTCAGATTGTCTCAGAGCCGGATGCAGCTACAATTGGATGAACGTCCAGATCATCGCAGTCTTTGGTCCTTCAGTCAGTGTCTCCTGGCTGAGGCTGAAACGCTGACACTACTTCAGACTGCACCTTCAACGGCATCTCCACAAACTCCTTTGAAGCTGAAGCAAATGCAAGGGGATGCAAAACCTTCCTCTACTACAACTTCACCTGGTGACAAGGCCAAAGCTGGCATGATGGACAAGCCCTGCAAGTACTTCATCTCAGACACGGGATGCAAAGCTGGCAAAAGTTGCCGATGGCTGCACTCTTGGGAAGGCGTGGAAGATCGGTCTTCACGATGTTGGATTTGTGGTGGCAAAGATCATCGGAAGAACGAGTGCAAGCTCAGAACAGCCGGCAAAAAACAGGGTGAGCCAGGTGCTGGCCCAGGGGGAGGACGTGGTAAAGGAGGTGGATCAGACCCTTCTACAACTTCTTCCACTTTTGCTTCAAATGCGCATGCAACTGGTGGCAAAGCTGGTGCAGCGGCGATGAAAGTTGCAAAGAACTCTGATGACGCTACCTCAATGGCAACGGTTGATGGAGGAGGTGGACAACCAGAGATCACAAGCTCTACTACCAGTGGAGAAAAAGATGGAGGCTGTGGTGGGGGGAGCGAAAAAAGCTCAGGTGGTGACAGCAAGACTGCAGAGTTACTGCATGAAGCCACTCAGTTGCTCAAGACCCTTCGAGTGGATGCCAACCCAAAGCTCAAGGTCATGCAGTTGTCTGGTGTTGATCAACCTGATGATGACTTTGTGCTGCTTGACAGTGGAGCTACACATGGGCTTCGACCAGCACGGGATGCTGAAGAGTGGCAAAATGCACTGCCAACGTCAGTCCAGCTTGCTGACGGTGTCACTGAGATGTTTCGCCTCAAGAGACGGACGAAGATTCTCCTGTCGGATCCTTCTTCAACAACACAGGCATCCTACATCATCCCTATGGGAGGTCTGTCAGACCTTGACTTTTCACTGGAGTGGCGTGGTGGTGTCTGCAGGCTCCATGATGATGCAGGCAGAGAGATCCAGGTGACGATCCGCAACGGGTGTCCTATGATTAGCCGTGATGACGGCTGCCGTCTTCTTGAGTGGCTGGAGTTGTTCCATGTGCACCAATTGAAGAAGCTGGCAATGGTCAAGACTTTGCTCACAGACCCTGACGCGTTGGACAAAACTCAGATGGATCTGGAACTGTCCCTTACAGCCAAACTTCGTGAACTTTTTCCAGACCTTCCTGACGAAGTGATGATGAAGTTGGTTCCGAACCTTGATCCCTTGCAATTGGAAGATTTTGGAGCACGATTGCCATGGAATCGTCGAAAGAGAAGGCGTTTGGCAAGGGCATCCAACATTGTGATCCACGTCTTTGCAGGTGACAATCCAAAGTTTTGGGAAAACCAACTTTCTACTGCAACCACAGAGGTGATCTGTGTGGATTTGCTTGGTGGCTGCAAAGCGGATCTGATGGATCGCAACGTCTATGGATATTTGTTGCAGTTAGCAGCAAGTGGGCGTGTTCGCGCCATTTTGGGAGGACCACCATGCAGAACGGTATCAGCACTTCGGTTTCAACAAGATGGAGGACCACGTGTGGTGCGAAACGAAGAATGGCCCTATGGTGTGCCTGACCTTTCCACAACCGAGGCAGAGCTGGTCATGAACGATGTGGTGCTCCTCTTCAGGTACTTGTCACTGTATGTCGTGGCTGAGGATGTGCGACGGCTCAACGATCCTGTGACGCAGTTCATCCTCGAGCAGCCTGAAGATCCAGCGCGGTATCGCAGTGCTGAAGATGTTGCTGCACATGGCTACATGTCCATTTTTCGGACAAAAGAATGGAGGGACTTTCAGAAGAAGTACAACCTCCATATGCTGCACTTCGACCAAGGGCCTATGGGTCATGAGCGACGAAAGCCCACAACCTTGGGAACGTCAATGGAAGTGCTTCTTCAACTTGATGGGCTACGTGGAGAACCAAGTCAGCCAGCTGCAACCCATGCAGATCAACCACTTCAACAACGAATTGAAGCTTCAAAGCGATGGGCTAGCTGGGCACCTGGTTTGAAACTTGCGTTGGCCACAGCCATCAAACAACATCTACAAATGCTGGACTGTGAAAAGTCAGTATGTGAGCGGGGTGCTGTGCACTCACCGCGAAGGGCCGAACATGCTTCAGTACAACAGTTGAAAAATGGCC